ATGAGATTCAAAGTCGTAATTATGAGATTCAGAGTCATAATTATGAGATTCAGAGTCATAATTATGAGATTCAAAGTCATAATTATGAGATTAAGAGTCATAATTATGAGATTCGAAGTCATAATTATGAGATTCAAAGTCATAATTTCGACGTTCAAAGTCATAATTATTAGATTCAAAGTCATAATTATGAGATTCAAAGTCATAATTTCGACTTTGAAAGTCATAATTATGAGATTCAAAGTCATAATTTTGACTTTCAAAGTCATAATTATGAGATTCAAAGTCATAATTTCGACTTTCAAAGTCATAATTATGAGATTCAAAGTCATAATTTTGACTTTCAAAGTCATAATTATGAGATTCAAAGTCATAATTATGAGATTAAGAGTCATAATTATGAGATTCAAAGTCATAATTATGAGATTCAAAGTCATAATTTCGACGTTCAAAGTCATAATTATTAGATTCAAAGTCATAATTATGAGATTCAAAGTCATAATTTCGACTTTCAAAGTCATAATTATGAGATTCAAAGTCATAATCATGAGATTCAAAGTCATAATTATGAGATTCAGAGTCATAATTATGAGATTCAGAGTCATAATTATGAGATTCAAAGTAATAATTATGAGATTCAGTCATAATTATGAGATTCAAAGTCATAATTATGAGATTAAGAGTCATAATTATGAGATTCGAAGTCATAATTATGAGATTCAAGTCATAATTTCGACGTTCAAAGTCATAATTATTAGATTCAAAGTCATAATTATGATTCAAAGTCATAATTTCGACTTTCAAAGTCATAATTATGAGATTCAGAGTCATAATTATGAGATTCAGAGTCATAATTATGACATTCAAAGTCATAATCATGAGATTCAAGTCATAATTATGAGATTCAGAGTCATAATTATGAGATTCAGAGTCATAATTATGAGATTCAGAGTAATAATTATGAGATTCAGTCATAATTATGAGATTCAAAGTCATAATTATGAGATTCAAAGTCATAATTATGAGATTAAGAGTCATAATTATGAGATTCAAAGTCATAATTATGAGATTCAGAGTCTTAATTATGAGATTCAAAGTAATAAGTATGAGATTCAGTCATAATTATGAGATTCAAAGTCATAATTATGAGATTCAGAGTCATAATTATGAGATTCAGAGTCATAATTATGAGATTCAGAGTCACAATTATGAGATTCAAAGTCATAATTATGAGATTCAGTCATAATTATGAGATTCAAAGTCATAATTATGAGATTAAGAGTCATAATTATGAGATTCGAAGTCATAATTATGAGATTCAAAGTCATAATTTCGACGTTCAAAGTCATAATTATTAGATTCAAAGTCATAATTATGCGATTCAAAGTCATAATTTCGACTTTCAAGGTCATAATTATGAGATTCAGAGTCATAATTATGAGATTCAGAGTCATAATTATGACATTCAAAGTCATAATCATGAGATTCAAAGTCGTAATTATGAGATTCAGAGTCAAAATTATGAGATTCAGAGTCATAATTATGAGATTCAAAGTCATAATTATGAGATTCAAAGTCATAATTATGAGATTAAGAGTCATAATTATGAGATTCGAAGTCATAATTATGAGATTCAAAGTCATAATTTCGACGTTCAAAGTCATAATTATTAGATTCAAAGTCATAATTATGAGATTCAAAGTCATAATTTCGACTTTGAAAGTCATAATTATGAGATTCAAAGTCATAATTTTGACTTTCAAAGTCATAATTATGAGATTCAAAGTCATAATTTCGACTTTCAAAGTCATAATTATGAGATTCAAAGTCATAATTTCGACTTTCAAAGTCATAATTATGAGATTCAAAGTCATAATTATGAGATTAAGAGTCATAATTATGAGATTCGAAGTCATAATTATGAGATTCAAAGTCATAATTTCGACGTTCAAAGTCATAATTATTAGATTCAAAGTCATAATTATGAGATTCAAAGTCATAATTTCGACTTTCAAAGTCATAATTATGAGATTCAGAGTCATAATTATGAGATTCAGAGTCATAATTATGACATTCAAAGTCATAATCATGAGATTCAAAGTCATAATTATGAGATCAGAGTCATAATTATGAGATTCAGAGTCATAATTATGAGATTCAAAGTATAATTATGAGATTCAGTCATAATTATGAGATTCAAAGTCATAATTATGAGATTAAGAGTCATAATTATGAGATTCGAAGTCATAATTATGAGATTCAAAGTCATAATTTCGACGTTCAAAGTCATAATTATTAGATTCAAAGTCATAATTATGAGATTCAAAGTCATAATTTCGACTTTCAAAGTCATAATTATGAGATTCAAAGTCATAATTATGAGATTAAGAGTCATAATTATGAGATTCAAAGTCATAATTATGAGATTCAGAGTCATAATTATGAGATTCAAAGTAATAAGTATGAGATTCAGTCATAATTATGAGATTCAAAGTCATAATTATGAGATTAAGAGTCATAATTATGAGATTCGAAGTCATAATTATGAGATTCAAAGTCATAATTTCGACGTTCAAAGTCATAATTAGATTCAAAGTCATAATTATGAGATTCAAAGTCATAATTTCGACTTTCAAAGTCATAATTATGAGATTCAAAGTCATAATTTCGACTTCAAAGTCATAATTATGAGATTCAAAGTCATAATTTCGACTTTCAAAGTCATAATTATGAGATTCAAAGTCATAATTATGAGATTAAGAGTCATAATTATGAGATTCAAAGTCATAATTATGAGATTCAGAGTCATATTATGACATTCAAAGTCATAATCATGAGATTCAAAGTCGTAATTATGAGATTCAGAGTCAAAATTATGAGATTCAGAGTCATAATTATGAGATTCAAAGTCATAATTATGAGATTCAAAGTCATAATTATGAGATTAAGAGTCATAATTATGAGATTCGAAGTCATAATTATGAGATCAAAGTCATAATTTCGACGTTCAAAGTCATAATTATTAGATTCAAAGTCATAATTATGAGATTCAAAGTCATAATTTCGACTTTGAAAGTCATAATTATGAGATTCAAAGTCATAATTTTGACTTCAAAGTCATAATTATGAGATTCAAAGTCATAATTTCGACGTTCAAAGTCATAATTATTAGATTCAAAGTCATAATTATGAGATTCAAAGTCATAATTTCGACTTTCAAAGTCATAATTATGAGATTCAAAGTCATAATCATGAGATTCAAAGTCATAATTATGAGATTCAGAGTCATAATTATGAGATTCAGAGTCATAATTATGAGATTCAAAGTAATAATTATGAGATTCAGTCATAATTATGAGATTCAAAGTCATAATTATGAGATTAAGAGTCATAATTATGAGATTCGAAGTCATAATTATGAGATTCAAAGTCATAATTTCGACGTTCAAAGTCATAATTATTAGATTCAAAGTCATAATTATGAGATTCAAAGTCATAATTTCGACTTTCAAAGTCATAATTATGAGATTCAGAGTCATAATTATGAGATTCAGAGTCATAATTATGACATTCAAAGTCATAATCATGAGATTCAAAGTCATAATTATGAGATTCAGAGTCATAATTATGAGATTCAGAGTCATAATTATGAGATTCAGAGTAATAATTATGAGATTCAGTCATAATTATGAGATTCAAAGTCATAATTATGAGATTCAAAGTCATAATTTCGACGTTCAAAGTCATAATTAGATTCAAAGTCATAATTATGAGATTCAAAGTCATAATTTCGACTTTCAAAGTCATAATTATGAGATTCAAAGTCATAATTTCGACTTTCAAAGTCATAATTATGAGATTCAAAGTCATAATTTCGACTTTCAAAGTCATAATTATGAGATTCAAAGTCATAATTATGAGATTAAGAGTCATAATTATGAGATTCAAAGTCATAATTATGAGATTCAAAGTCATAATTATGAGATTCAAAGTCATAATTATGAGATACCGGAGCAGTTGGAGACAATTCTCCGTAGAATAACAGCGTGCTCCAACTCCCAGTTAAATATGACCTTAAATCCAAGGTCCAACCTTTGCTACTGCGTTAAGAGTCAGTAAAAGGTAGGTTCACCTTTTTTGATTTTGTTTAGATTCCTTCGTTTTGAATGCTTTTTGATCGTGTGGTGTTATGTACATAGTTCGTTGTTTTAGCAACATGAGCTAGCTGCAGGTTAACCGTCAAAGCGTGCTAACCTTGTTATAGCATATTTAACAGGTTTTTTTTTAAAGTAGTCCGTTAATTAGATTGTTTTATGTCAGAGTGCGATAAGAAGTTTGTACTCCAAAATCAATAAGTTAATATGTATAATTATTTTGTGGCATAATCCAAGCAATAGCTAGTAGGTTAAAACAAGCTCCACAGCTTGTTGTATGTACGTTTTGTTATGTGTAACAGCTTCCCTTATGCCCGTCCCGTCATACACACAAAGGAGGCCAGTTGGTTGAATTTTCTGTAATAAATGGTCAACACAAATTAGCACAGTGAGCTCCACTACTGGTTCACCAGCTCTCCGCATACACAGTAGAGCGCTGAACAGACTGCGTCTAATTTACGGTTTAGCTTTCTCTTTATAGGCAACCAGTAGGGGGCGCCAAAAACCATTCATCACATAGTAATTACAAAACATATTTTAGCAAGAATTTCATCTGTATCTATTACCGTTACATATGCATAATGTGATTCACTATCTTCCATTAAATTGTTTTTGTCGATACACAGACAAGAGTAAAATATGGAAGTACAATAGCATCAGTTTTCAAACTGTTTTCGTAGCATTTTCATGTACACTTATGCTAATGCTGGACATCTGCAGCTTTACATTGACAATATTTACAAAAGCAATTTAAAATAAGAAAAATGAAAAACAAGAAACTTAAAAAATCCCCAAAACGGCAGGCCCTGTTGAAAATTTTAACTCCTCAACTTTACTCAACTTCAGGATACCTACAAGAGACAGAGGAGGTTCCTTTCACCTGAACCTAAACCTAAACAGAGGTAAGTTGCAACTCTTGTGAAAATCCAATTTATTATATTATCTGTTTAAATGAAAATAATTGAGATCAAAACTAATATTCTGATGATGTTCATGCACTTGACTCTTTTATAAAGATGGAAATTTCATTTTAACAATGTTCAACCATTGAAATATTTTAGGGGAAAAATGTAATCAGAACTTTCAGACCTAAGCTCTACACTTTACCATTTAGTGTGGACACACTGGTAGATTTTTCTTTATTACTTTATGTAGTTTCTTTATGTATTGGTTTATTTTTGCAGATCTGTACAGCTGTTTTGTTGTCTATTGTCTTTATTTAGCAGGAGCTTGAGTCTGAAATACAGTTTTCTATCTGTCTTGTAGAGTTGGACAATAAATCAGTTATATGTATCACGATACACGTGATCGATATCAATAGATAGTAAGTCTGACAGAATATCAATAGAATATTCTCTGAACTCTGATCCAGAACACATACCATTCTGGAGGATGTAGGCACAGTCAAGGCTTCTCAACTAGGCCTGTCGCGATAAACGGTAAGTCAAGAAATTGAACGATAAATGAAAACTATCGACGTCATTTCATTTATCGGCTATCGTCTCTGCCTGTATTTTTCTCTTTCTATTGATGACGCTGGATGAGAAGCCTCAACTCTGGTGCTATCCACTGACCCCTCCCTTCCTAAAAAATGAGGAGGGAGGATTAGTGGACTATTGCATCAGGTAGTAAGTGCTCGGATCGCTTTGTATTTCTATTGCTTAGAGCCCGTGAGGAGTTAGCAAAGCAAAGAAACAATATCTCAAAGCTCGAAATGGAAACCGGTTTCAAAGCCGAACGCAACTGCAGCAGTGTGGGACTATTTCGGATTCAAACCAAATGACCGAGGCGAACCGCTGAACCTTTGCGAGCCGGTATGTCGCATTTGTCATAAAACAGTAGCAACTAAGAGCAACAATACAACCAACTTGCACGTGCACCTAAAGCACAACCATCCAGCAAAGTTTTTAAGGCTGGGGACAAAAAATACAACGGTGGCCCGTGTCAGTCTTTAAGTTCGCGACAGTCCACTGTCTTTGAAGCAAACACATCCCACAATCTAGCAGCCAAGCAATTGCATAAAATAACCTTTTGGCCTTTCAAATGCTCCTCTCTGGTGATTTTTGATTGTTTTTAATGTTGCTCCAGTGTAAGGGGAAACTCTATTTATGACATAGTGATATAAATAAATTGTGTGAATTCAGACAAATCAATAATTTGAAAACATCAGGATGGAGGAAGTATGGGTCGGTTTGGAAGCTAGCAATTTCCAACTTTTGTAAATATCACGTCTATGATCCCCAATCAGGTTTGTTACGTTCACAGACAAGTTATCTCCACTCCAACAAGAAGAAGCCACCAAGAAACTGGTAAAAACAACTTGATAAATAACTGAAGTCACTCTGTTCAGTTCCCATCCTTCACTGCCGACGTCCGTCATGGCGCCTCCAATGATGAAGTCAAGCAGTGCAAAGGGTTAATAGTTTCAATCATGCAGAACTGATCTGACTGTTGCTATAGCAAAGATCAGAAGCAAGACATTGTCCAGATACAGTGAGCTCATTGTAGCTATGACCTCATCAATGACTTAGATCTATGACATAGTTCTATGTCATAGATCTAAGAACCTCTGAGGCTATAAAAACTTGCATCTCAAAACCTCAGTTTTCAGTTGCAATTCTGTTTAGCCATGTCTTTGGATCTGAAAGCGAATTGGAACGACATTTTCTTTCCTGTGTCTTTTGGGCTTGGTATTTGGCCAGCACAGCCATCAGGAAAACATTGAATGTTATCCTGCCAAACTACAATTTGGAATGCCATCTAAGGATGAGGACCTGGATGTCTTTGATTCCTTCCTCTTCAATCCTTCTCCGGCTGGAGAAGCGAGTGACGAGGATAGACTTCCTACCAGGAAGAGTGGCCGGATGATTTCAATTCTTTTCTCTTCAATCCTTCTCCGGCTGGAGAGGATTGCTCAGAGGATAATCATCCCTCTGCACAATGGATGGATGATTATGATGTGATAGATGCCTATCTTTTCAGGCCTCCTCCACCTGCGACGCAAACTTCTCCGGCTGGAGAAGTTTGCGTCGCTTCAACCAAGATGAAGCGAAAATCATCAGTGTGGAAGAGACTCCTCAGCTAGGAGTCTCTGATCTAAACAAAGAAAGCTGGAAGAGCCGACCTCTTCAAGAAAAGATGAAGTGAAAGATATCAGTGTGGAAGAGACTCCTCAGCCAGGAGTCTCTGAACTAAACAAGGAAAAGCCGGAAGAGCCGACGTCTGCAACAAAAGAGGACGTAAAAAGACATCGGCGTGAAGAGACTCCTCAGCCAGGAGTCTCTGACTAAACAAGGAAAAGCCAGAAGAGCGACATCTTCAACAAAGGAGGACGTAAAAGACATCGATGTGGAAGATGTAAACAAGAGAAGCCTAAAGAGCAGAAAGCTTCTCCTCCATCAAAAAAGAGCCCTAGAAGATTGGACTCAAAAGGATTCTTTTAGTTTTCTTCCAAAACAAACTTCCCCGGCTGGGAAGCTTTGAAGATTAGGAGGTTTTCACCTCTACTCCCCCACCACCTGTGGAAATTTGGGATGATAAGAAGGCAGTGAAGAGAAGTAAGAAGGCATGTTGTCGATTATCTTGACTGCCTGATTTTAAGTATGTAGCATCTTGTTTTTTCACTTTTCATTTTGATGAAAAGTGAAAAAACTTGCGAACAGAGGTCTTGGGTTTGAATCCTGGCCTGGGTTCAAACCCAAGACCTCTTGTCTTCATGAGCATGAGTGGGTTCTCTCCGGGTACTCCGGCTTCCTCCACAGTACAAAAAGATTTTTTAGATAAAAAGTGCGTACATGGGTTGTGCCTTTGTGATTTCTAGGCTGTTCTCATTCTGTCTAGTTTCTAGTTGAAGTGTCACTTTGTGTCTGATGAATAAAACTTCAATCCAGCTGAGTTTACCAGTTAGTAAATGATTGCAAACACACATCAAATTTGCCATTTTCTCAAAGAAGAATGTCTCAGACAAATTGTTTAATCCCACAAAATCAACATTACTTTTGAGTTTGGTGATGAGGAAATGCAAACTGAGGGGATGAAATCCCAATCATCAATTCATTTTTAAAAAAGCAAACCTTCCATCTTTCTTGAACATTACTGCAGACTGTAAGTAAAGCATAGACCAATCGCCACACGTTTCCATAATCCACCAAATGGTTCATAAATTAGTTAATTGATTTGCTATGACAGCAGACAGATGCGTCAGTTATTTTTCACACTCACTGATCTTTATCCAAAACACAAAATGAGTCCAGAAATGGGAAATTAGCTGCAATACTCTCAAAGTCTTCTTGTGATATATAGCCATCGTGGTCATAGTCATAATTTCTGAAAACGTAGCTCTGATAGTCGGTGAACTGCAGACAAATGAGAATTATTGCCAAGACTCATTTGTATGAATCATTTTCTTAGAGGCTATGCAATGTAGTTTAGCTCTATTTGGATTTTAATGTTACAATCACTTAAATGAAAGACACAACCAGTGCTTACTGTAAAATTTTATGCAGGAAGATTAAAAAAAAAAACAGGATTCAGCTGAAAATTTAGGAAGCAAAAAAACAAAGATATGGGTAAAAAAAAAAAAGTAATTTATATGGAAGCCCATTTCCGCCAAGGAAAAAGAAGACCAACAGGAAGTCATAATTCGACTTTCAAAGTTCATAATTAGAGATTCAAAGCATAGTTATGAGATTTGAAGTCATAATTATGAGATTCAGTCATAATTATAAGATTCAAAGTCATGATTTTGACTTTCAAAGTCATAATTATGAGATTCAAAGTCATAATTATGAGATTCAGTCATAATTATGAGATTCAAAGTCATAATTATGAGATTCAAAGTCATAATCATGAGATTCAGAGTCATAATTATGAGATCCAGAGTCATAATTATGAGATTCAAAGTCATAATTATGAGATTCAGTCATAATTATGAGATTCAGAGTCATAATTATGAGATTCAAAGTCATAATTATGAGATTCAGTCATAATTATGAGATTCAAAGTCATAATTATGATATTCAAAGTCATAATTTTGACTTCCAAAGTCATAATTATGAGATTCAAAGTCATAATTATGAGATTCAGAGTCAGAATTATGAGATTCAAAGTCATAATTATGAGATTCAAAGTCATAATCATGAGATTCAGAGTCATAATTATGAGATCCAGAGTCATAATTATGAGATTCAAAGTCATAATTATGAGATTCAGTCATAATTATGAGATTCAAAGTCATAATTATGAGATTCAGTTATAATTATGAGATTCAAAGTCATAATTATGAGATTCAAAGTCATAAATTTGACTTTCAAAGTCAATTCTGAAATTCAAAGTCATAATCATGAGATTCAGTCATAATTATGAGATTCAGAGTCATAATTATGAGATTCAGAGTCATAATTATGACATTCAAAGTCATAATCATGAGATTCAAAGTCATAATTATGAGATTCAGAGTCATAATTATGAGATTCAGAGTCATAATATGAGATTCAGAGTCATAATTATGAGATTCAGAGTCACAATTATGAGATTCAAAGTCATAATTATGAGATTCAGTCATAATTATGAGATTCAAAGTCATAATTATGAGATTAAGAGTCATAATTATGAGATTCGAAGTCATAATTATGAGATTCAAAGTCATAATTTCGACGTTCAAAGTCATAATTATTAAATTCAAAGTCATAATTATGAGATTCAAAGTCATAATTTCGACTTTCAAGGTCATAATTATGAGATTCAGAGTCATAATTATGAGATTCAGAGTCATAATTATGACATTCAAAGTCATAATCATGAGATTCAAAGTCATAATTATGAGATTCAGAGTCATAATTATGAGATTCAGAGTCATAATTATAAAATTCAAAGTCATAATTATGAGATTCAAAGTCATAAT